AGCCAGCCTCTGCAGGGACAGGAGCCACCATGAACTGCAGCGACTGCTTCCCTGTGCGGCTCTCCACTAAAGCCCACAGGAGCAGGAGATGATGAGGGACCTGTGCCAGACTGGGAAGACTCCTTGAGGAGAGAGAATTTTCCAGTTTCCCTTTCAAGTTAATCTATCACTTAGATTACAGACCGTAAGCCAGACTGAAACTGGGTGAACGCTGAGTGTTCTGCCAGTGCGCCTCGAAGTCAGCCACTTGCTGCCCACATCAAAGCCTTCCTGTCCCTGACTCCTTGTGGGAACCTGGAGGCCGTGTCGCTGTCCTTCTCCTCTACCTTGAAAATGTTGTGGAATCCTGATGGGTTTACCTGCTGAACATGCTGTGCCTGCTAGAAGACCCAGGTCCTTTCTGCCCTAGCCAGCTCCAGGGAGTCCAGGATGCCAGTGGAAGACTGGGTGGCCCACTCCATCAAGGTGGGGCTGGACCCACCACCTGTCACTTCTGCCTCAGGTTAGGGAAATGGGAGGCTGTCTACCTAAAGGGCTAGGAGGAGAAGCCTTCGCTTTCTGAGACACCAGCCCTGCTGTGGACCCCCTGGGAGGCAGATGTGAAATGCTTATAACCCTGGAACAAGGATTAGTATACTCTGCTCTGAGCTTATTTCTTGTAGCAGCTACAGCTACTGGCCCTAATTTTGCTTCTCTCAAATACCTGTGCAGTAGCCAGCTTTGTGTATTGCTCTGAAGGACTAGCAGGCTGTTTCTTTAGCTGGGTTCTGCAGGTTCACAGAGTAGCACTGGCACACGTTGGCAATGGTTAGGGCCCTCTTGCTGTGCCACATTATGGCTGGCGGCAGTGGTAGAGCCTGTGTGGGTGCAACGACTTGGCCAAAAGTGGCAGCTGGGGGAAGACAGGGCGGGGGCCAGGCTCCCACGCTTGTAACACTGTTGTGAGAACCAAGGTCCTACAAGTGCGATCTTAGTCCATGCAGAGAGCGTCGTTATTTGACCCAAAAGGCTTGCCAGCCCCCTAACCCTGCACGCGGTCCCCTAACCCTGCACGCGGTCCCCTAACCCTGCACGCGGCCCCCTAACCCTGCACGCGGCCCCCTAACCCTGCACGCGGCCCCCTAACCCTGCACGCGGCCCCCTAACCCTGCACACGGCCCCACCAGGAGCAACCCCTTAACCCTGGGGGGCGTGGCTGAAAGCAGAGAATCCTCCCACACCTACTACTGTGCCGTCATTGATCTCCTTTGCTTGCCAGGCCCTGGGCTGTGTCCCTTCCTCTAGCCTGGCACCTTACAGTCCCACCTGCTGGGGCAGGGTGATGTCTACGCAGACTGCTGTCCCTCAGTGTGATTCTCAGAGGGGGTCCTGGCTGGATCTTCCAAGGCCTGGTCAATGCTGCACAGGGCTCTGGGCATTTGTATCATCAGGCCTCATTCTGGAATGTCTGTCCCTTTGGGATAACTCTGTATCTTCTAGGATTGGCCTGGGAGCATTGTCCTGGGTTTCCTTCCTTGGTATCCCCTGGCAACCCAGGCCTGAGCCACGCATGTGTGCACACTGCTCACACCTGCAGTGTCAGTACTGAGAACTCAGCTGGGCTCTCACTGTGTGGGTAGGTGCTGCCGGGGACTCCCAGCAGGGGCGTAAGGCCCACCCTTCCGTCGTGACAATCCAGTCTCTCCAGATGCTGCCAGGTGTCCTTCGAGGACCCATTAGTCACCCTGCCAACAAGTCTGCAGGCTGCGTGGACTGGGTATCAGGCTTTCAGGACTAGATGCCCATGGGCTGCAGTCCTAAGAGACTGGGCTGGGTTTACCCCATTGTTCTGCCAAAGTACTCAGCAAGGCCACTTGTCCGCCCCAAGCACTAGCCCCAGATTGCTGCAGACCATTTAGGGTCATCCTGTGGCTCGGTTTCCCAGCCCCTCCATTAGGGGCAGCCTTGTCGTCATATCTGGTTAGCAAGGCGTAAGCAGAATTTCAGTGTGAGAGTTTCTAGAAGAAAAAAAAAGTGTGCTTTTCTGATGAGCTGCATACAGCAGACATAGTCTCTTCTTGCCCACTCTGGGCCTGGACTGTGGACATGAGGGCTGGAGCTGGAGCAGCCACAGGGCAAAAGCTGAAGGCACGACAGGCAGCCCACCTTGCCCACCCTGAGCACTGGGCCAGCACACTACCAAAGGCCATCTCTCTGTCTGTGGAACGTAGGTCTCCTTTAAGCCACTGCAGCCAGCTGAAGTTTCCTCCCAGAACCTCAGTGCACAGCCCTCTTGGGAAACAGGGTCTTTACAGATGTAGTTAGTGCAAGGACTTTAGCCGCTAGGTCACCGCACTGGGCCCTACCTGAGGGTTTTGAGATAAATTCCTCCTGGAGTTGCAGTGGGCCCTAAATCCGTTGCTGTGCTGCTAAGTGCAGGCATGGGGCCAGCGCCGCAGCAGGTGAAGCAGCCCTCGGTGGCACGATCATCCCACATCACTCAGAGAACCAGGTCTCTGCCAAGGCACCTCATGGGGCAGTGGGAGATGACGCATCTGTGGGCCAGGCCACCGGGGGCCCGCGGAGAGCTCCAGGCCCTGGCTGTCACGGTCACCTGGGCAGTGAACCAGCGGATGCAAAAGCTCTGACATTCTGCTCTTCAAGGAAGTTAAATATGTTAAAACTCTGGAAAAACAAAACCGAGACACGGAGAGGACAATCTGTGAGGGCAGAACAGAGCTGGGTGACGCAGCGCCGGGCACCCCCTGTCCTGTGCTGTGTGCTGGCTTCCCATCTCCAAGTGCAGCTGGCCTTCTGGTCTCTTCCAAACGTGGTGGTGGCTCTCAGCACGGTGTATGCTGTATGCCTGCTTGCTTTCAGCCATTCCTGAACAGGCCAGGGCTGGCCTGTTGGATGGTGAGCATGGGTTGGTCACTCTGGTGTCCCAGGTGCCAGCCTGGCAATCACCGAACCACTCCAGAGCTGCCAGCTGAGCAAGACGGGCCTCTCCTGATTCGTGACTTGTGAGCCATGCCACACGCTGAGGCTAACGCCGCACACTTGGGTTGGTTTGTCACCCGGCAGTAGCCGACTCACATCTGCTTACTGAATACTCTGTGCCTGTATGGGACTGCATCTGGAACTCCAGGCTCAGGCAGGGGGTTTCAAACTTTGCTGCACTTAAAAATTCCTTGGACCACGATCCTGGCGTGGCTCGGTCCACAGAACACCCTTTGTAAACCAGTCCTCTGCCTGGGGTCAGGCACTAAATCCACAGTGCTGTCTCCCACACTGGAGCGGCGGTTCAGGAGGGGAAGTGTGGGCCTGTCTGTGGGAACCAGTCAGGGCGGGAGAGGGAGAAAGGGGCCTTGGTTAGGGAAGAGAGACCTCCCTGCAGGCAGAGGCAAGGACTTTCACTGCCAGTATTCCTTCTCCACCTTCACTAAGAAATAAACAGCCTCTCATTTACACAAAAGGATTTACCATCAAGTGCCTCAGGAACAAAACCTTGACTCTAATTAAGCAAATGAAGGCGGATGTGTGAGTTAGAGGCAAGGTGCAGACAGCAGCAGGCAAGGAGAGGCAGTAGAACGCGGAAGGAACCGGGCGGCAGCCCACCGATGGCAGCCCACCGCCGGCCTCGGGAGCTCAGGTGTTCACCCACACGTGGTCCACCGCGCTGGAGGACCCACTGTGCGCACAGCATCCTGGAGCAGGTGCACACCCGGGAAGAGGGCGGGTCACTTTCCTCTCCTCGCTGACCCAAAGGTCTGGAGGGGTGGGAGGAGAGGGGCAGATGAGAGGCCCAGACAGCACCGCCAGGCCCCTCCAGAGCGCAGGGGAAGCTGCTGCAGTGGCACACTCTGACATCTGTGCACATCTTCAAAAGGGCCCTGGGAACCCCACGCGTCAACTCTGAGTTCCGCCTTCTAGCTTCCAGGCGTGGGAGAAGTCTACTGTTCCAAGCCAGCCGGGGCTTGGGGGAAACAGGTCAGTTTGTATAGGGTGTGCAGGCACCCCATGTGAGGACGGGAGGATCAGGCGGGGGCCGACAGGCGACAGCGCAGCTGCTGCCAAGGGTGACTCGGTCTTCACGGGTGGCACCTGTCTTACTTATTAAGCGAACGCGGAGGCTCCTGGGTGCAGGGAATCCCGAAAAGGCCAGAAGCCGCTGCCCCTGCACACCGGGAGGCCGCGTCCGGCAGCAGGGACAGCGGCCGTCGCTGTGTGCCCCTCGGCCATGCCCTGCGCACGTCCAACGTCCACACACACCGCCCTAACCTGCAGCGAGCGCCTTGCGGGCCCTGGCGGCCGGGGGCTGGCCTCGTCGCGGCCGGCACGTGGGCGCCCGCCGTCCCGGAGCTCGGCCCTTACGTAAGGCGGCCGGCCGGGCCGGGTGCCGGCGGCGGCGGGGCCGTGCGCCCGCGCGGGCCGGGGGACCTTCCCGGCCGCCCGCCCCCGCACTCGGAGCGGCCTCGGGCTCGCACGCGGCCGGCTCGCTCGCCCCTCAGCCCCGGGAGGCCGGGCCCACGCCGCCGCCGCCGCCGCCGCCTCCCGGCCGGCCAGCTCCGCCCAGGCGCGCGGCCTTCCGCCCGGGGCAGCGCGCAGGCGCGGTCCGCACGGCGGCGCCGTCTGCCGGGGGTTTGAATCGGCCGCGCGTGCGCACTGGCCCCGCGGCCCGGCCCGGGAGGCCGCGCTTCCTCCCCGCCCCGCGGCCTCGCGGCCCTCATTGGAGCGCAGGCGGCGGCCCCCGCCTTCCCCGCGCCCGGTCGCCGCCGCCGCCGCCCGAGCGTGACTGAGGGAGCCGGCGCCCGGGCCCGCCCCCTCGGCCGCGCCGCCCGCCCCTGTCCGATGGCCTCTCCGCCCGGCCCCCCGCGCCCGGCCCGCGCCGCCTGAAGCCCGCAGCCCCCGAGCGGCCACCCCGGCGGAGCGAGCGCGAGCGGGCCCCGGGCCGGCCGTCCGTCCGTCCGTCCGTCCGTCGGCGCGCGGGGCGGGGGCGGGGCCGGCGGGCGGCGCGGGCCCCGCGGGGGCGGCGCGTGGATGGATCCGCGCGTGGCCTGGATCCAGCCCGAGCAGAAGGGGCCGGCCAATGCCCTGTGGATGCAGATCTGGGAGACCTCGCAGGGCGTGGGCCGCGGCGGCGCCGGCTTCGCGCCCTACTTCTGCCTCAACTCGCCGGCGCTGGACACGGCCGGGGCGGCGGGCGCGGCGGCGGGGCCGGCCGGAGCGAGCCCCGCGGGGAGCGGCGGCCCCGCGCCGCCCGCCGCCTCGCCCCCGCCGCCCGCCGCCGCCGCGCCCGCCGCGCCGCGCCCGCCGCCGGGGCCCGAGGGCGCGCCGCGCCTGCACAAGTCGCCGTCGCTGTCGTCGTCGTCCTCGTCCTCGTCCAACGCCGAGTCGGGCACCGAGAGCCCCGGCTGCTCCTCCTCGTCCTCGAGCGGCGGCCGGGCGGCCGGAGGGGGCGGCCGCGGCGGCGCCTTCTTCCACTTCGCCGACGGCGCGCCCAGCGGGCCCGGCGCGGCCAACGGGCACCCCGGGCACCCCGGGCCGCGCGGCCCCGCGCCCGCCGGCTCGCCGCCGCAGCACCAGTTCCACCCGGGCCGGCGGAAACGGGAGAACAAGGCCAGCACCTACGGCCTCAACTACCTGCTGTCGGGCAGCCGCGCGGCCGCGCTGAGCGGAGGGGGCGGCCCCGGGGCGCAGGCGCCGCGGCCCGGCACGCCGTGGAAGAGCCGCGCCTACAGCCCGGGCATCCAGGGGTGAGTGCACGGGCCGCGGAGGCCGCGTGCGGGAGGCCGCGTGCGGGAGGGTGCGCGAGCTGCCCGCCGGCCGCCGGGCTCGGGCTGCAAGGCCTGCGGCGGGCAGACTCGCCGTTCCCGTCTTCCTGCCCGACCGCCCCCCGGGCAGCTTTAGAGACCCCCTTGGCGAGGCGGGGCGCACGTGTAATGAGATTGCAGGCTGCTTGAGCGCTGCCAGGCCTGGAGACGGGTTCAAGGTGGAATGTCAAGTGTGTATCTTTCTGAGAGCTCCCCCCCCCCCCTTTAGGAGATAGCTAAGTTTTGCTCATGGATACAGTTTAGCGGTCAAGTGAATTTAGGATGGGCTCTGCTTTCTTTTGAATGGGACTGCGAGCTGAAAGTAGTATTGAAACACTTTCTCTGTATAAAAACGCTAAAAAACAAACCCCCAAAAACCCGAACACGGGCCAGCAGCATTCCCAGGAGTCAGGTGTTCCTCCCATGTGTGTATTTACTCTTTGGGGGGGGCGTTTGCATTTTAAGCATTTCCACATGAGTGTAGAGGGCTTGGGTTCTCTGGAAGTGTGGGACTCAGCCAGGGGATGCAGGCTGCGTGCGGGGGTCGCCCAGGGGGGCTTGCTGAGGGTGCTTCCGGAGCGTCTGAGCGTAGGTCTAAGGCCGGCAATCGCCAGCTTTTCCTGCTCCCATCTTGGCCGATTTGACAGACACGCAAGGAATTTCGGGGCTGTCGGAGTTAGACGCGGATAATTGCTCTGTGTTGGAATTTCTTTCCTGGCAGCCTCCCCCCCAGCCCCGCTGCAGCACAAGCTTCCCCAGTGGCCTGGTGGTCTCACCTGGCTCCTGTTGCAGTTCCCTCACCTGAGCTTGCACTGCGGGCTCCTGCTTCCCTTGCCTGGGAATTCCTGGGGCAACCGTGAGGCAGCCCGGAGCAGGTTCCTCACCTGAGGCTCACTTGGAAGGCCCCTGGGGTGTCCGGCTGTTACGTAACTAGCTGGGACTCCTCACACTAGAACAAACGGGAGATGTGTGCATGCAGAGCGCGCCCTCACGCCTGCCTTCAGTCGCTTGGGTTCTGGAGCTGTTCCCTGTGCAGCCAGTGCGCTCCTGGTCAGCTCCAGGCCAGCTAGTGCTCTGCTCGCATCTGAGACCAGGGTGGGCATGGGGAATAATCTCTTGGTTCAGACCCCAAACCTGGCCCACCTGCGCGTGTCCCCACCGGGTCCCCATGGTGGAGACCTCCCTCCTCCGCCTGTGGTGGCCAGCTGTGGTGCAGCAGGTGCCGCCCTTCAGTGCCTTGCCTGGGTCTCCTTGAGGGGTGCACAGGCTCCGATTCTGATTCTCCCAGCCCCTGGCTGCAGCCGCACGCACCTGCTCTTACATCTGACCCTTCACCTCCTGACCCCACAGTGCTTTGGGCTCCTGTCACTGCCCTGGAGAGTCCTCATTGCCAAGGCAGCCTCCTGGGGTCAAGTTGTGCTTGGATGGAGCTGGGAGCATGGCCTGTAGATGGATGTTGGTGCTGTGCTGGCTGAGACTGCGCAGCCCCAGAGCGGGGTCAGGGGTGAAGTTGTGCCTGAATGGAGCTGGGAGCGTGACCTGTGGATGTTGGTGCTTAGTGAGGCTGCACAGCCCCAGAGAAGGGCTCTGCCCTGGCGTCCACCTGGAGTCCCATTCCATGACCAGCTTCGGTTCAGGCAGGCCCTCAAGTTCACGGCTCAGGTGCGCATGCAGGAGACGGCGGGAGCTGCTCTCCCCAGTCCTTTGGCAGTGTTGAACCTCATATTCCAGGGTCTCTGATCCTCCAGAGATGGTTGTGTTCCTGATGTAAGATCTGTGAGAAGCCAGCCACTGGGAGAGGACCCCAGCTTTCAGGCTGCTGTTGCATGCTGCATGTCCACCTGGGCTCTGCTCTGAGGATGCCTGCTCTCCCTCTTGACCTCTCAGGAGTGCACCCTGGGGAGCCTGCGCACATCCTCCAGGGCCTAGATGGAAGGGGGCATGGAGCTGCGCGGGGCAGCACTGCCCTTGCCCTCTCCCTGCCTTCTGAGGCCATCACAGGGGGTGTGCCACCTGCCTCCAAGAGCTGAGCCCACGTGCCCTGCCTGCGGAGAGCCTGGAGGGAGATGGCCTGGGGAGCAGGGCAGCTTGCACTCCCGCAGAAGTGCAGGGAAGCTGGAATCCACCGAGTGTCTTCATAACACACCGCTGTGAGCTTTCTCAAGGCTTTGCTTTTATCCTTTGTCCTGACCAGTTAGCCCCTTCCCAGATGCTCCTGCCACTGACTACTGGCACCTGTCACCCAGTGTCCACCTCTGTGAGGCTGGCACAGGTTGGGGAAGTTGGGCTGAGGACCAGTGGGCAGTGCCTGCTGAGTTAGGGCAGCTTAATCCCTGGGGCTGTGGGGAGTCCTTGGGAAAGTGGCTGGGGTGGGAGTGAGCCTGGGACAGGCCTTTGAGTGCTAGTGGTTTTCCCTGTTGTCACCGTGTGAGTGGGACGGGGAACCGCGGGCCCCTCGACTGTATGAGTGGGCTGGGGAACCGCGGGCCCCTCGGCTGTATGAGTGGGACGGGGAACCGCGGGCCCCTCGGCTGTATGAGTGGGACGGGGAACCGCGGGCCCCTCGGCTGTGTGAGTGGGCTGGGGAACCGCGGGCCCCTCGGCTGTGTGAGTGGGGCGGGGAACCGCGGGCCCCTCGGCTGTGTGAGTGGGCTGGGGAACCGCGGTCCCCTCGGCTGTGTGAGTGGGCTGGGGAACCGCGGGCCCCTCGGGGCTGTGCGCAGCTCTTGTTTGTGACTCGACTTTCTGAAGGAATTCTAAAGAAGTGTTGTAAGGCACAACAGTCATACGCCTTACAGGTGAAAGGCAAGTTTGGGTCATAGTTTGCTGGGAGGTCCTTGTTAGTGAATTTGTGCAAGTGGACAGTGGAAGGAAGGGTGACAGTTGTCTGTCTGCTCCACAGTGGTTTCTGGGAAGCCATGCAGTCAGTCCAGCTCTGCAGGGGAGTAGGGCCCTGGAGAAGTGCTGAGCCCTGAGCCTGGCAGGTGCCTGGCACACCTGTGCCTCAACGAGACGGCCAGATCCCTTCCCCACACTTTGGGGGTTGGGGTGGGCTGCACGCTGAGCAGCGGACATTTTCTCTTTAGATTTCTGTGCTGTGCTGGTTTTCTGTTGATGTGTTGCACATCTGCCCACACTCAGAGGTCAGAGCCGCGCTCACCCTTGAGCGGCAGGCTCCGTGAGGCTGGTGTGGGTTAGGGTTAGGGTCCGCTGTGTTCTCAGTTGTGCTCAGGGTCCCCTTCTGAGAACGTTCCCATGCATGGCATAGCATGCATCCCTGCAGGTGTGGGACTCGGGTCCCTGATGCTTGCTGGCTGTCAGTTGGTGACCTGTTGGCTTTAAGAATCCTGATGCTCCTTGGCTTCTGGCCCTTTCCATTGTCACACCACTGCGGGCTGTGAATGTCTGATGATGTAGCTTTCGGGTGGGGAATGCCACGGGCTCCTGTGACTGGGGTGGACTGGCCAGGTAGCATGTGGCAAAGCTTGGTCTCACCAGAGCCTCAGGTTCTGTGTTGGAGTGAAGGCTGGGTGTTGCCTGCTGTGCGGAAGGGCACTGTGTGGCCAGCCGACTCCGCTGGGCAAGTGGATCAAGAGGAGGCCATGGTTTCTCATGTGGCACTGCTTCCCTTGACAAGATGCCTCCCCATCTCAGTGACTCTTGTCCATTGCCGGGTCTGTCATCTGAACTCGGGCACAGTGACCACCAGGCCGAGTGTCTTTCCCTGCCCCTCTCAGATGGACTGTCCTTTAGAACGTCGTCATACGGAAGCTCACAGAAAAGCAGTGTGAATCCGTGAAAGCTGGCTCATTGGCAGGTGCTGTCCCTGAGGTCTCCAGGGTTGGCCAGCCTGGAAAGGGCACCTGAGGAGGGCACTGCAGTCTGTGTCCTGGGCTGAGGCGTGGGCATGCACTCCCCGTAGTAAGGATTCCTTTCCGGAGCATTTGCTCTCTGCCCAGGGGCCAGGAGACTGCTGTGGCTCCAGCCGCCAGCCCGCTCTGGAGGGGCTGTGCACTGAGGACTGGGCTCACGGTGGACTGGCTCCTGTGTCCTGAGCCCGGCAGCCAAGGAGAACGGTGCCTCTGCATGTGTGCCCAACGCCACGCACATCCTGACTGCTAAATGAGTATCGGCAGGGGTCACGGAGAATTTTCTGGTCTTGGAATTGTTAAAAAATTTGATTGCCAACTTGAGTTCAAGTGCAGAAAATTTTAAATCTTGCTGTTTTTCCACTTGCTTTCTTAAAAAGTGGCTAACCAGCTGTAACGCCTTGCAACATAGAAAGGCAAAGGTGGAAAAAAAACCCCTATATTTGAATGACATCCATTTGTGTGTGTGTTTAGCTGCTACAAAAGGAATACCTAACTCTGAAGAATTAGGAAACTTTGGAAACTATGAAGGTGACTCACTCCCCATCCTGGGAGGCCCCTGCTGGGCATCCCTGGAACCTGGTCTCGTGTGCGCATGGCTTGTTGGTGGCAGACACAGGGAGCTGAACTGCGCTGGGGGCAGCCGGTGTGGGTCCCTGCAGAGGGTGGTCTTGCTGAGCTGCAGGTGGACCAGAGGGAGCAGCCCAGCTGTATACTGCCAGGGACTGCCCGGTGAGCAGCCCCCGCCTGTGCTGGTGGGCTGGCACTCTGCATTCAGCCTCCCAGGGACTTCAGACTGGCGTTAATTTCCTAGGCAAGAGCATGTGGGTGTAGAAAATTTCTGGTTTTACACGTGTAAGAGAGATTTCAATTTCAGATCCACATCCCCTTTCTAGAGGCCTGTGGACCCAAAGCCACGGCTCAGGTGCCCTCCGTAGTTGAAGGGAGATAGTTAAGTGGTTCCTCTGCTTGAGTCATTGGCCTGGGAAGCACTCTTGGCTTTGACAGTTCATGGTCAGCTCACATCACACTCCCAGGTCTGGCTTCCACTCCCCTAGCCTCAGTTTCCCGTCC